TGGGAATGTCCTTCAGCCCACACGACTGCAATCCTTCTTTAATGCCAGAAACAATCCCTGCAGCATCACGAGAATTCGAACAGTCAACAAAGCAAATAAATCGCTCCTTGATCTGAAGTCCCTCTGAGTATCTAATGCAAACAGAAAGTTGCTCAGTCTTTGATGACTTTGCTTCATCAGCAATAACAGCAAGAAAACCAGTCTCGTGTACTTTTTTGGAAATTTCTTCACGAATGAGGTCTGCACACAATGCAATTATTTCATTCTGAAAGTCTCGGCTTGTACAGTTAAAACATTTGGACTGCATGGATTCGAAATCAGGGTCGTATTTTGAAAACAAATCACAAATACTTAAATAATTCCCCCTTGCTTCTGCATCCGTATCTTCACGATGTCCGCGGAAAGGGAGGCCTAATTTAGCAATCAATTTTATAATATTAACGGATTTGTAGAGGTACTGTCTGTTTTTTTCTACTGTGCTTTGATGGCTGTGTGACAGCTGTGCAGCCACAGATCCCGATTCACCGGCCTGTTTATAGCTCTCCCACATCGTCATGCTGTTTAAATGTACCTGTGACGAAGCGTGTTTCGTCAGCTTCTCTGACAGTTTTTTCCAGTTCCGAGCTCCGACTTTTGTAAATAGTTCGTCTGCGCCTGATCTTGCAATGTTTGAAGAAAAGTGGCGACAGCAAAAACAAAAAACGGAATCCAGTGAAATTGAGTACTCCATCCATGGGAACTTGTGATAGTAAAATGTAGAGAAGGCACGATTAACATTTCCAATTAGGCGCTTAGGGAAAGAAGAAAGTATGGGCTGTTTCGGCCCAATAGCTTTTTCACCGAGGTCAACGGATCCAGATCCAGATGCGGCAGGTTGCGCGGGTGTTGTTGTTAACGGTATCTCCGCTGACACGGTAGCGGTGCTGCTGGCTTTGTTCTCAGATGCGGTCTCGATTGCTATGTCAGTAGCAGGAATGGAATTGATAGCAGAAGTGTCAGAGTTAGAAAACTCCACACTAGTGCGCTTATTAAAAAAACGACGAATGTCCATTTACTTTATTTATCTGACTAAAGCGGGAACAGAACGAGAGTCCACTCAGCGGGAACAGAACGAGAGTACACTCACTTACCGCGATATTTTGAGATCCGCCAGTCGTGAGAAAATTAGCTTCTTTTTCAATACAGTAATTAATATTATATAAATAAAAAATTATTTAGCCTTAACTTACTCATTATACCCGCAAAAGCGATAAGATAAGACAAATAAAATGAGAAAATATGAATTCAGCAATTTTTATTTATTTTTCAAAGCACAAGGCAGACATTAATTGGCTCTGGTCTGGGGGGGGCAGTGCCCCCCCTAGCCCCCCCTAAACTCCGCCTATGATTTACACCATAAAATAATCACGGCGAAGTGTGCTGATCAACACGAAGCTCGTGTGAATACCGACTGTTGTCAGAAAAGCATGTAATTCTTCTTAACATAGGAGCCCATAGATCCCGGGGAATGTGTGAAATACTACCCGCGTCTGGGCTGCTGAAGCCCCGCGCAAGTCTCCCACGCGCCCCGTACGGAGGATGCGTGATCCTCGGTAACCAATATGAACCGCGAATATAACATTACCTTCATAGTCTACGAGTAACACAACATAAGAAACTGAAATAAGTCACTTACCAGTTGAGAATCACTCCTCTTGCCGCTATCCGAAAGTCGACGACACGACCGATGTCGATTTAAAATTTACAGCAATATTCTGTATTTTGAATCAAACCCGCCACGCGGCCCCAGAATGCATTGCATTTTACAGCAAAATGCTGTATTATTAGAAAACAGCCAGCGGCTGTAAAATATTGCTGTAATTTTTACAGCAATTCATTACAGTGTAGCCAAGTCCACTTCAAATCCCCGGATGTGTTCTTGATCCGCCCCGTTTACCGAGGATGCATCGGTGACTTGTGTGGACTTGAGATAGCCAGGTAACCCAGAATGCACCTCGCACCAACCAGCAAGTGTCAATAGGAGAGGAGAAAATCCGCGCAATATTAAAATACTACTATTATTGAGTCATGAAATGTAATTTTATGAGTGTTTCAGGCAAGAATGTGGTTGTTTAAATCTCAAATAGTTATTTATAAAGATGAACTATCTTCTATAACTATATCTTCTAACTATAAACTATAGTTTATTTATAAAAAATAAACTTTTTTATATATTATCTTCACTATATGAACAATAAAATAAAATGACATAGGGGCTAACCCTGTTTCTGTTTGATAAATGTCAATAAAAATCAATGTTTCATATTTTTTAAATGAAAACAAAAAGATCATGTTCATTTTGTTATAAATATATGCAGTGAAGAGAATCGCGTTGTCTGAACCACATGGCCAGGCTAATAGGCGATGTTGTTTTTTTTTGTTATAACATATTTTTATAACATTTTATATATTTATAACATAACGTTTTATAACATATTTCGTTTTATTGTTGACGAAAAGATGCAGAGTTGTAGCAAATTTCGTTTTATTGTTGCCTAAAGCGTGCCTAAAGCTTGGTATTGAGAAACGGCTATACACAATATGCAGAGCAGTGGGTCGCGAGGACTGGAGTTGAGAACCCCTGTTATACGCGAACGTCTGCGTTTTGTACTCGCCCAGGAAATCTGTGTAAACCGTACGGCACCAGACAGGGGCAGTCGACCCGGGGTATTCACAATGTTTTCTCTTCAAAATTGAAATTTTACTGCCACCATTGAAACAATTTATAACGGAAACTGTTTACCCACTTGACATTATACAAGGGGTAACGTTGTAACGTCAGTGACAGTCATAAATCGAATAGCTCATTTAATTTCTAAGTAATTTCATGTAAATCTTTGATGTAAACTCTTGCCAAGCTTTGAATAGTGCACTGCTTATTAAATGTTTATAACGCGTTGAAACATAACATATTAAACATGCTGTTTTGTTCAGCCATAGCTGTCAACCCTCTCGTTTTTTCCGGGTTTCTCACGTATTTTAGCTAATTTCCAGCTGTCTTGCTGTTTTAGTATTTTCCCGTAAAATATCCCATATTTTTAGCTCTGACTGTGTGAGACATATAAGCTCGGACAGATTCGGCTTGAAGTCGTTCATCCTCGAATGCGGCTCTGCGCGCGCTGTCACAATAAAAACGGGAACCTACACAGCCATGCGAAATGAGGTCTTGCCGGTCTTGTGCACCCAACACGTCATTTTTGCAGCGCTATGCGGACGCGTCGAGTATAAAGGCTTTACCACTAAGCACCACTAACTCCCCCTCCGTTTCCCCAAAGCCCGTCGGTTTCCCTCGTAAGCTGATATTAGAGTATTTAAACATTCTCTATGATATTTTTTTAAATGACACCCTGTCTCTTTCTCTCTATGTATGCTAATTATAAACTCTTAAGACTTTTATGGTTAGTGCTTTATTTTTACAGTTTTTCTCAGTCGCTTTGGTGCATTTCTCACATCACTATTTACATTTGCTCAACAGTTAGTTCAACCTCCACAACATTTAGTCATTTTTGCACATCATAGTAGCAGTTTCTCATTCCTTCCAACAAATTGCAAATGCTTTTGGACATGCATCAATTTCTTTCATACAACTCTCTGCTGTTTTATAGCATTATCGTATGCTTATGTCATATCAGTCCAAATTAACTATACTTGTGAATGCTGAATAGTCATTCCATATAAAACTAATAGTCCTCATTTCATTGCTTGAGTCATCCATACAAAAATGTTGAACTAGTGGGTCAAAATCTGTCAAGCAATTTTTTTATCTTAAAAAAAAAAACTTTTTTATCCTAAATTGAACAATTTCTCACAGCTGAACCTCAGTTTTCACTGATGAGAAGAGATGTCCATGAATGATTTACAGTATATGTCTGTTGTATGTAAATATTGATGTGAGAAATGCACTAAAGCGACAGAGAAAAATTTTCAATGTTGACAGCTATGCACTCAGCACACAGGCCTATGCTACAGTTCTCGAGTCAAGAACTGGTTGTTGCAGTTCTTGAACCACCAGTACAGAACCAAGAACTGTTTCGGAAACATTCGACACAGAGTACCGATGAGCGGGAGCTACTGCAGATGTGTGATAGCAGTATCTAAACAGAACTTTCTTTTTCAGCCAACTGATGATGAGGTCATACATGAGCCCACAGAATTCAGTGAAATGTACTGCAAGTTTATTTAATAAACAAAATGATGAAGACCATTTACACACTATATCTTTAAGGTAGTTTAAACATCAACGTTTGCACATCACCTGAAGGCTACAGGGTTCGTTTGCAAAACATAAAAGAAACTTATACAAGATAATTATGACAATGAGCACTATTATTTAACTGAAGTTATGATTACAAATGCCTTTAATTTAAAGCATTTTGTATCCAATGGCATTATAGAATTGGCATCATTACGTGAGAACGTAAAAGAACTGGTGAAGCGTTTATTTGAACAGGTTTGCGGAAACCAGACTTCCCATCACTAGTGTTAACTCACACTCTCAACCTTTTAGGTGAAATAAACAGTTTCTCAAGAAATGAGCATCACTAATATTGTCAATTATTAAAAAGAAAAGTCATGGAAATTCACCCTTAGAATAGAGAATAAGGAATACAAAAATTAAACTTGGTCATTTAAGAGGCATGAATCACTTTATTGGAACTGTTTAACACAATTTCCATAACATGTTCTAAAGCAGACTGATAAAAGAAGCAGCACTGAGAAATAACGTTTTATTGACTAAAAACAAGATCAGAAAGTGGCATATTTAGATATTGACTAGATCTGTTTGAGACTTTAGAGCATATGCACACAGTCATCTCCCCATCAACCTCAGCGGGGACATGGCTGCACTCTTTAGCTGAGACAGGGATGGACTTGGTCAACTTCCCATCCACCTCTGCTGGGACAGGAATGGACTCCAAAAACTTGCCACAAACCTCAGCAGGGACAAATCTGGAGTCTTTAGCTGGGACATGGCTGGACTCGGTCAACTTCCCATCAACCTCAGCTGGGACAGAGCTGGACTCGGTCAACTTCCCATCAACTTCAGAGGGGACATAGATGCATTCTTTAGCTGAGACATGGCTGGACTCGGTCAACTTCCCATCAACTTCAGCTGGGACAGGGCTGGATTCTTTAGCTGAGACATGGCTGGAATCAGTCAAATTCCCATCAACTTCAGCTGGGACAGGGCTGGATTCTTTAGCTGAGACATGGCTGGAATCAGTCAAATTCCCATCAACTTCAGCTGGGACAGGGCTGGATTCTTTAGCTGAGACATGGCTGGAATCAGTCAACTTCCCATCAGCCTCAACTGGGAGAAGGCTGGATTCATTAGCTGGGAGAAGGCTGGATTCGTTAGCTGGGACATGGCTGGATTCGTTAGCTGGGACATGGCTGGATTCTGACAACTTCCCATCAACCTCAGAAGACACATGACTGGACTCTTTAGCTGGGACAGGGCTGGAATCGGGCAACTTCTCATCAACTTCAGCCGGGACAGGGCTGGACTCTTTAGCTGGGACATGGCTGGACTCGGACAACTTCCCATCAACCTCAGCTGGGACAGGGCTGGATTCTTTAGCTGAGACATGGCTGGAATCAGTCAACTTCCCATCAGCCTCAACTGGGAGAAGGCTGGATTCGTTAGCTGGGACATGGCTGGATTCGTTAGCTGGGACAGGGCTGGACTCTGACAACTTCCCATCAACCTCAGAAGACACATGACTGGACTCTTTAGCTGGGACAGGGCTGGAATCGGACAACTTCCCATCAACCTCAGCTGGGACAGGGCTGGATTCTTTAGCTGGGACAGGGCTGGACTCAGACAACTTCCCATCAACCTCAGCTGGGACAGGGCTGGACTCGGACAACTTCCCATCAGCCTCAGCTGGGACAGGGCTGGATTCTTTAGCTGAGACATGGCTGGAATCAGTCAACTTCCCATCAGCCTCAACTGGGAGAAGGCTGGATTCATTAGCTGGGAGAAGGCTGGATTCGTTAGCTGGGACATGGCTGGATTCTGACAACTTCCCATCAACCTCAGAAGACACATGACTGGACTCTTTAGCTGGGACAGGGCTGGAATCGGACAACTTCCCATCAACCTCAGCTGGGACAGGGCTGGACTCTTTAGTTAGGAGAGAGCTGGATTCGATCAACTTCCCCTCAACCTCAGCTGGGACAGGGCTGGACTCGGACAACTTCCCATCAGCCTCAGCTGGGACAGGGCTGGATTCTTTAGCTGGGACAGGGCTGGACTCAGACAACTTCCCATCAACCTCAGCTGGGACAGGGCTGGACTCGGACAACTTCCCATCAGCCTCAGCTGGGACAGGGCTGGATTCTTTAGCTGGGACAGGGCTGGACTCAGACAACTTCCCATCAACCTCAGCTGGGACAGGGCTGGATTCTTTAGCTGGGGCATGGCTGGAGTCTGTCAACTTCCCATCAACCTCAGAAGACACATGACTGGACTCTTTAGCTGGGACAGGGCTGGAATCGGGCAACTTCCCATCAACCTCAGCTGAGAGAAGGCTGAATTCTTTAGCTGGGACAGGGCTGGAGTCTGTCAACTTCCCATCAACCTCAGCTGGGACAGGGCTGGACTCGGACAACTTCCCATCAGCCTCTTTAGCTGGGACAGGGCTGGACTCGGACAACTTCCCATCAGCCTCTTTAGCTGGGACAGGGCTGGAATCGGGCAACTTCCCATCAACTTCAGCTGGGACAGGGCTGGACTCGGTCAACTTCCCATCAGCCTCTTTAGCTGGGGCAGGGCTGGACTCGGCCAACTTCCCATCAACCTCAGCTGGGACAGGGCTGGAATCAGGCAACTTCCCATCAACCTCAGCTGAGAGAAGGCTCGATTCTTTAGCTGGGACAGGGCTGGACTCGGTCAACTTCCCATCAGCCTCTTTGGCTGGGGCAGGGCTGGACTCGGACAACTTCCCATCAACCTCAGCAGGGAAAGGGCTGGATTCTTTAGCTGGGACAGGGCTGGACTTAGTCAACTTCCCATCAACTTCAGCTGGGACAGGGCTGGACTCTTTAGCTGGGACAAGGCTGGACTCGGACAACTTCCCATCAGCCTCTTTAGCTGGGACAAGGCTGGACTCGGACAACTTCCCATCAACCTCAGCTGAGAGAAGGCTGGATTCTTTAGCTGGGACATGGCTGGACTCGGCCAACTTCCCATCAACCTCAGAAGACGCATGACTGGACTCTTTAGCTGGGACATGGCTGGACTCGGCCAACTTCCCATCAACCTCAGCTGGGACAGGGCTGGACTCGGTCAACTTCCCATCAACCTCAGCTGGGACAGGGCTGGGCTCTTTAGCTGGGACAGGGGTGGACTCGGTCAACTTCCCATCAACCTCAGCTGGGACATGGCTGGACTCTTTAGCTGGGACGGGGCTGGACTCGGACAACTTCCCATCTACCTCAGCTGGGACAGGGCTGGACTCTAACTTCACATCAACTTCAGCTGAGAGAAGGCTGGATTCTTTAGCTGGGACATTGCTGGACTCGGCCAACTTCCCATCAACCTCAGTTGGGACAGGGCTGGATTCTTTAGCTGGGACATGGCTGGACTCGGCCAACTTCACATCAACCTCAGTTGGGACATGACTGGACTCCTTCGCTGGGACAGGGCTGGCATCGGGCAACATCCCATCAACCTCAGTTGGGACAGGGCTGGCATCGGGCAACATCCCATCAACCTCAGTTGGGACAGGGCTGGATTCTTTAGCTGGGACAGGGCTGGACTCAGAAAACTTCCCATCAACCTCAGCTAAGACAGGGCTGGATTCTTTAGCTGGGACAGGGCTGGACAACTTCCCATCAACCTCAGAAGACACATGACTGGACTCTTTAGCTGGGACAGGGCTGGAGTCTGTCAACTTCCCATCAACCTCAGCTGGGACAGGGCTGGACTCGGACAACTTCCCATCAACCTCAGCTGAGAGAAGGCTGGATTCTTTAGCTGGGACATGGCTGGACTCGGTCAACTTCCCATCAACCTCAGCTGGGACAGGGCTGGACTCTTTAGCTGGGACATGGCTGGACTCAGTCAAGTTCCCATCAACCTCAGCTGGGACAGGGCTAGACTCGGACAACTTCCCGTCAACGTCAGTTGGGACAGGGCTGGATTCTTTAGCTGGGACATGGCTGGACTCGGTCAACTTCCCATCAACCTCAGCTGGGACAGGGCTGGATTCTTTAGCTGGGACAGGGCTGGACTCGGTCAACTTCCCATCAACCTCAGCTGGGACAGGGCTGGACTCTTTAGCTGGGACAGGGCTGGAGTCTGTCAACTTCCCATCAACCTCAGCTGGGACAGGGCTGGACTCGGACAACTTCCTATCAACCTCAGCTGAGAGAAGGCTGGATTCTTTAGCTGGGACATGGCTGGACTCGGTCAACTTCCCATCAACCTCAGCTGGGACAGGGCTGGACTCTTTAGCTGGGACATGGCTGGACTCAGTCAAGTTCCCATCAACCTCAGCTGGGACAGGGCTAGACTCGGACAACTTCCCATCAACCTCAGTTGGGACAGGGCTGGATTCTTTAGCTGGGACATGGCTGGACTCGGTCAACTTCCCATCAACCTCAGCTGGACAGGGCTGGATTCTTTAGCTGGGACATGGCTGGACTCAGTCAAGTTCCCATCAACCTCAGCTGAGAGAAGGCTGGATTCTTTAGCTGGGACATGGCTGGACTCAGTCAACTTCACATCAACCTCAGCTGGGACAGGGCTGGACTCGGACAACTTCCCATCAACCTCAGTTGGGACAGGGCTGGATTCTTTAGCTGGGACATGGCTGGACTCGGTCAACTTCCCATCAACCTCAGCTGGGACAGGGCTGGATTCTTTAGCTGGGACAGGGCTGGACTCGGACGACTTCCCATCAACCTCAGCTGGGACAGGGCTGGACTCTTTAGTTGGGACAGGGCTGGACTCGGACAACTTCCCATCAACCTCAGCTGAGAGAAGGCTGGATTCTTTAGCTGGGACATGGCTGGAGTCTGTCAACTTCCCATCAACCTCAGCTTGGACAGGGCTGGATTCTTTAGCTGGGAGAGGGCTGGACTCCGTCAACTTCCCATCAGCCTCAGATGGGACAGGGCTGGATTCTTTAGCTGGGAGAGGGCTGGACTCCGTCAACTTCCCATCAGCCTCAGCTGGGCGAAGGCTGGATTCTTTAGCTGGGACATGGCTGGACTTTGTCAACTTCCCATCAACCACAGCTGTGACAGGGCTGGACTCTTTAGCTGGGACAGGGCTGGGCCTGGTCAACTTCCCATCAACCACAGCTGGGAAAGGGCTGGACTCTTTAGCTGGGACAGGGCTGGGCCTGGTCAACTTCCCATCAACCACAGCTGGGACACGGCTGGACTTGGTCAACTTCCAATCAACCTCAGCTGGGACAGGACTGGACTTGGTCAACTTCCGATCAACCTCAGCTGGGAGATGGCTGGATTCTTTAGCTGG